ATCAGCTCACGCCAGCTCGTCCTATCGATACTTGCTCTGCGCTGTCAAAGAAGACTTGTTCTCGCCACTGTCTACACCACAAGCTCTGACTCTTTCCGGGATCTATTTCCTGTAATACAAATCTCCTCCTCCTATTTGTAGCAGGCTGGAGAGGCACCTTCCCCAACTGGTAATTCTGATTCCTGGGATAAGGCATCACTCATGGGAATTTAGCTGCTGCTACCTCATAAAAAAGGCAGCAAAGAATTTGATTTTAATTTGTATAATTTTATTAAATTTCAATAGTCACATGTATATCGCATGTATAAAGATATCACATGTATAAAGAACTGGTTTTCTAAAGCATTCAAGTGCATTATTTTCTTCACTGCACTCAACTGATTTACTCTGCATTTTTGCCATTTATGGCTGTTGCACAACAAATATTTAGAAAGGAAAAAATCAGGAAGCAAACATGGAAAACTGTTCCCTACTTGGAAGGAAGCCCCTTCGGTTCTTTATTACGGCTCTCTGTGCTGGCGAAAAAGGAAGAGAGAGTGGGATGGCAAAGTCATGGCAAGGCCTGGCAGATGGTTTCTATCGTTCCGTTCGGAAGCAGTAGGTGTGTTTCCTTGAATGTCTGGATGTGTACCCCTGTAAAAGGAACATATCTTCTTAAAAATACGTATTTTACTATGGTGGAGCTACTGCTTAGTCTTTTGTATGAGAAATGCTTTTCAAACTACTCACAAAGCTTCAGTTCTATTTCTTAAGAGTTGAAAATGCTGCAGTTTTTACCCAGGAAATGATTTACAGCATTCTAAGCAGCCTATTACTTTAGCTTTGCTTAATCTTAAAAGAAGAGGCAATGAATGTCAAGAACCACTGTGAAAGTGCTTTCAAAATTTAAAGCTGTCAAATAATTTATGAAAAGCCACCGTCTCAAGACTCACAAAATTTATTGACGCGAAAAAACAGACATTGGAAAAGTTCATTTCAAAATTTCCAAATATGATTGCTTAACATGGCGTATTTTCAGATCGATAAGGAAATGCTCTTGGGGAAAATACATGCCGTTTCATAGGGTGTGCCAGACAAGCGCTGGGGAGGGCCCGATTCTTCAGCAGGGCAGCTGTTGGCTGCCCCTTTCCGCTGATCTGCTGCCTGTATCTGACAGCTGACTGCGGCAGAAAAGAGACAGGATGGCGTTTACTTGTCTCCTCTCACCAGCCTATGCCTTCCGTCTCGTTTTCCTAGTGCCTCACATGTTCATACTACCAGTCCGTGACTACAAGAAGATGCTAAATCTAAGGAGAAAGGAATCTTTTTCCAAGCCTTGATACCATGAAGCAGCAATTTGAGGCTCGTACTCTGGTGCCTTCTAACGAACATACAGGGGATGAGCCTGTAAAAATACACCAGGTGGTAGCATGGGGTTTTTGAAATCATGGCTTTTCTCTTTAGGTATTGAGGGCAGAATTCACCAGCAGAAGGTCTGTGTGTTCTGCTAGGCCTTGAAGGCCAAGCATTGCAGAAGGTTTGGGCAGGGAACTGCACGCCTGGAACAGCGGCAAAAAATCTGTCTTGCGTTTAATCCCAAATTTAGTCTCTAATGGAAACCCAGGGAGCGTGGCACAACACCTTTCCAGGGAAGGACCACATACTTACAGACGCAAACAGAATTCAAAGCCTGTGGGCCATTTTTAATAGCTTTGGCACTCAGCAGGATTAACCTTGCAGCCTTGGCATAGCATCCCACAATAGGGTACAATTCAGCAACTTTCTCTTCATGGCTCATATAAATCTGGTTTGTTTTAACTAGTAAGTCAGCTATAAAGCTACATAAAAACATCAAACAGGCCTACATCTAAAATGTTGAGTTTGGAATTAAGTAGTCACTTAACAACCACCAGCCATATGTAGAAAGATAACCGGTAGTAAATTTGTTTATTTAAACTCAAAAGAGGAAGCAATAAAAATGTTAATTTGAAAAATGTAAACTAATTATTATTTCCTCTAACTGCATGCACTGCCTTCCAAAATTCTCGGAGAGAGAATAAATGAACAGTCAGACAAAACCACTCTAACCATTAGGTGTTGTGGAATGTTACTACAAGGATGCAGGGAATCCTTTAACCAAAGAAAGCAACTAAAGCTAAATGGGGCTTTTCGCAATAAACACTCATTGCAGGAAAAGATCACTCTCTCAGGATTGCTCTGTCGCTTACAGCTACAGAAGAACTTAGTTTTCTTCCTCCGAGGAGAGACCTTCGATTTCATCTCTGTCTCCTCCAATTGCCATCCAGAATGCTTTGGCCACCTAACAATGGAAAAAAAAAAGATGGGAAAGGGAGAAAAATTCCCCTCAAGTCACTGAAGGTTTTGCATTTACCATCCAAAAAATAGAAACTGAGCAGCATCTAAATCTAGCTAGGTACAATGCTAATCCTAGGTACAATGCTAATCCTGTCTGAAGTTAAGAAATTTCAGCAACACAGAGGCAATAATTCAGAATTCACAGGAGGCATATGTGATAGAAAACTTATTAAAACGTGATTACAATTTCCTTGAGATCAAGGCTTTTCCATTGACTTAAGTGGAAGCTGGCTTACACCCTCAGTGGCTGCAGGGCCTTCGTTTCAGAAATTTTGAAAGGGAAAAGCTTTTTCTGGTGTTTCAAAATTCCAGGTTTGTTATTCAGTTCTTGGAAGATACCAGTCTCTTCCCTAGGACTGTGTGGTTTGTTCTTACTACTCCTAACATAGCAACTCTACAAGAGAAGTAACTATGACTTAGAAAGGAAAACCCCATTTTTAATAATTTCAATGCCAATCTCAAAACCTTACCTTTTCCGCGTGCAGTTTTCTTTGTTCATGAGGCAATGTTGCAGCTTTATCTGTGAAAAAGAACATGACTTAGGTTGTCAACCTCAGGAGTGAGCAGGGAAGGAAATGCCTATTGCAGCTGGTTTTCAGGGACTACCAAGAAATTAAGATCATAAAGACAGAATCTTATTCAGTAAGAGCAATTGCAATTCCCAAACACCAGGAAGCTGATGCTTCTCAGCACACTGGATTTCATCTCAAACATCTGTAGCCTTAAACTGCAAAACTGGCAGGCAGTTGTAGAGTTAAAAAAAAAAAAAGGGTTTGTTGATAGAAAACTGTGTTGCATTAGTTCACAGTGGACAAAATCAGTGTGACAGCAGTCAGCTGAGCAATACCTACTTCTTTCAAAAGTACTATAAAGCTGAAGGGCAAAATAATGAAAAGATCAGCCACTTATAACAAACCTCAGACAGGAGAATCGGAATTTGTACGATCTTCCCAACTCACACGCTGGCTTTCATGCCTTTCAGTGATTAGAATAGGTGACGTGGGTCAGTACGTCTCTCCCTGGTACAGTACCTTTCATTTCTTTCAGCTTTGAAAACAGCCTTTCGAAGTTCTCCAGGTCACCGTCTCTCGTGGTTAGGCTGGCTAACTCTTGAATGTCCGTATCTAACATGGGATCTGAAATAAAATATAGGTTGGTTTAAGGTAAATCATTCTCTTTGTTAGCAAGTATGAAAGACTTTCTGATAAAACCAGTATTTTAACATCTGCAAATCCCATCTGCAAATTCCAACCCCATAGGAGGGAAAGAAACTTTTAATTTACTGATTGTTCATACAGACAACTCATGGCATCATTACAGTGGTAATTAATTTTGATATATTACATTGTAAGAGTGTTTTTGAGTTCATCCAATATTTAAGGTTTCTTGCCTATTATAAAATGATCTGTCTAGGAACAGCCACAGAGTAAATTAAAGAGTAATGACACTATGCTTAGACCACAACTAATAACACCCAACCTTTAGAAGATCTCCACATACAGCTTGTAAGAAAGGCCCGTCTCCAGGAATGATGCAATTATTTAAGCACCTGTAGCTTAAAACACCTGAACCTCTTAGGAATGACACAGGTAGAGTGTTTCTCACTCACCTCCTGCTGGGTCAAACTGAAATGATTTTTCTCTGCAACCATAAAGCTGGAAGCTTTATCCTCACAAAGATGTTTCTAGATATACACAATATACACAATACGTGCATCAGGAAATTTCACAAAATCAGATCTGTTCCCAGTTGGTAGTACTACTGGGGCTCTGTCCTATCCAAACTTGGGCCCATTTTTTCAAGCAGAAGAACACCTAAAGTCTAAACAATTAACCTCCACTGCTCTGCCAAGCACATTTATGCCATACTTTTCATTGCAGAAGAGCCAGTGGCTTTCTGGGACCATCCCAGCCAGGGGTGCCTGCTCCAACATATCTGCCAAGCAGAGAATGAGCTTACCAACAGTGTTGTCCACCTGTAGGTGGTTTGTGCTAGCGCTGTCTTCTCTGTTGTCTAAATGGGATTCTTCTCCCTCTGCTGATGATGGATTGGACTGTCAGGAAACAAACAGATATTAGAGTATCCATAATGAACCTGAAAAGCATCATCAGCAAATCAGGTGCTTTCTGTTTCGACTTCAGAAATTTACTCTTTATCTTAAACTGTCACTTACTGCAAAACCTGTACCACGTGTATTATGAAAAGCCACTTTTGCAGCACCGTACATAGGTACTACATGAAGCTTTTCTTCGAAAGTGTTACACACACAACACTATCAAGTGATAGGTATTTTCTGCACTAAATATTGCTCTTGGATATTAATGAAAACCAACATCTTGCACGGAGCTTTTAATCATCTTTCCTTGGCTCCAGTGGGTTGTCTGTGGTAAAACATTTACACAGTGCTGAAGTCAGTGTGATCAGCACCCAATGGCTTTCCACACTGAGCACACAAGCAGCCATCTCCAGGTAAAACGATGAGTTCTGAGGCAATGTCCTGAAAAACAGGAAGCTCACAGCCACGAGGTCACAGCTCCTAGGAACAACCGTCTCGGGAGGACTTGTAAGACAAATTGTAGATAGTTTGTCAGACTTTAGAAATGTTGCCTTTAAAATACACTCCACTAGGCTGTGAAGAGAAAGCCTTTCCTCCTTGAGAAAGGAGGGAAAAAAAGAAAGCCCCACCACCATGCCAAGTGTGACAATAGGAAAGAGCAACACAAGAAACAGTCTGAGCAAAGAACAAGAAATAGGAATTACTGTTTACTTCTGTATCTTGGTTCTCTTCTGACCCAATGCTACAGTTTGCGCCTGCTAACGTACTGAGAAGACCAAAGCCCTGGGTCCTGTCTAAAAACAAAATAGCTGTTAGTGTACACAGAAAATGCAATATTATTACAAATAATTGTAACTGACCAGATGAGACAGAGAATATATCAGAGAAGACAAACACAGCACCCTGTAAAACTCTTTTAAGCAGAAACTTTTCATATTCTCTAAGCTTTTTTTAAAATGCATTAACAGTATTTACTGCTAAATATTACCAACAGGGAATAGATGTGCAAGTCACAAAAGATGTGAGCTCTTTTTTCTTGTTAATTGAATTCACTGCTCTGTTAGGATTTGGTCTGGGAAATGTCCTCTCATTCCAAGCAGGCAGCTTTCAAGATACAGAAGCAGCATTTGCTCCTACGGCATTCAATGGACCAGGTTTCACCATCCATGGGAAGTAGCACTGAGTTTGTGGTTAAATACAGGAAACGCAACAAGTGCTTTTGCTTATACACACATTGTCTAAATAGGCTGAGCACCACAGTAAGGGCAAAGGCAATTTTAAAATATCCAATTCAGAATTCACAGAAGGACCCAGCTGTCAAATCCAATGTTTCTTCACACCATAAGGTGCTTTGGGCTTTCCACATCTGCTAACCTACTCTGTATTTCAATGATATTTTAAAATCAAACCTAAAAAAAAAAGTTAATTCAAACCTAAAATTAAACAATCATCTTTTTAATCTAAGATAATAAATGCAGTACAGTATTTTTAAACTAACTGTATTTTTAATACTTTATTTTTTTAAATAAAAATGCATGCATAATAGGTGATATTATGGGTTGTGTTTTTCTAAGCCATGTTTTCTGCTGGCCTGGCATTGAGGAGTAAATATTTGCCATTACATAGGGGACTCAGGACATTTTTCTGAAAATCTTAGTATTTAGTCAACTCAAAAAGAAATAATATGAAGTTATCATACTACAAATAGCCAGGAAACAATGACTTGTGCCAGAAGAAAGATTAAGATTACTTTTTTAAAAAAATGTGGTTTAAATTAATATTACAGTAATGACTAAGCTCTAGACTCAAATGTTGAGATGATGTCATTTTTATGCACAGTCCAAATTTACTTGCCACTTACACAAAATTTCATTTCAAAGAGTTGAATGTGTAACTAAACCCATCAGCTATCTAGAAAGCATGTAAACATGTTAGAGAATTGCCAAGACCTCATTTCCTGTTTAATAATCTTCGCTGTGTACTTAGGCTAATGTGTGTCCTCTCCCAGTCCTCTTCTCCCCTCGTACTCCACACACACACAGAGCAGGTATTTACTTCAACTGGCTGTGTTTTACACAGTTTTACTGCTTTAACAGATCACTTGCCAAAGGTTTGGGAAGAAGTGAATCAGTCTAGCCAAAGGAATAGCCTTAAAAATGTTCAGTTGCAAGACATGTGAAAGCCCGTGAAGTCTGCCAGCTATATTAGCAGGCAATTGAGCGATAAAAGATCGAGACCTGCAACACAAAACAAAGTAAAGTAGTTTCCCCAAGTTTCAGCAGGCTAAGCAAAGGGCTGTCTTCAGAGAAGCTGTACAGATCAACATTTAGCCAATTTCTGAGTCATCTGAAGCTAGATTGGACATTGCAGTCCAGAATGTACTTGAGAGAGAACATTCCCACACTGGCAGAGGAGGGGATGAAGTGACCTAATCATGTACCTCTTTCATATCTATTAGAGTTCATCCGGTACAGAAAGATGACAGTGGCTCCATCCCCCCCCCACATACACACAACATCAGCCAGCACAATTACAAAATGTTGTCCCAGTTAAAAAGTACTGGAACCTACAGCAGGGATCTCTGAAAAGCAGCTATTTGTTTCTGGTTCCATGGTTAGGGAGGTGGCAGACGTAACACTTGGTTGCAGGCACACCCTTGAAAAAGCCTTCCTATAAACTCTTTTTACTGGATGTAAAAGTTATTTCAACTTCTGGGTGCAATTCAGGAAGTGGGTGATGCCTTACACAGTGTTCTTACAGCATCAAAGCCAAAAATTATCTCACTCAACAACTTATTATAATAGTTGGTGGCTCCATGATGATGAAGTCTATATAGTTTCACAGGTATCACTCATCAGTAGTTGCCAAGCTCCAGTACGCTGTGCTCTGAGCACAGCTTCCAGATTCACATATGCTCAATACATAGCAAAATGTTTTCCACTGCCTTTATTTACTATTCTTCCATAGTCTATCTCTAGCTGACATGTGGTGATACCGACATCCATATAAAATTCAAATGAAAAAGTCAAAATTCATAGTTTGTATAACTAACTAAGCTTAAATAGTTCCTCTAAAACAGGCTCATTAATAGCCCCACTCCAGGTAACCAGCTTCAGCTGGGATCACTGAGATAGGTATTTAAGCAGGAAAGCAGCCACATAGTCCCCTTCCAAGGGTGGTAAGTTGTTTTTCTTCTTGCCACCTAGGTCAACTAGGTTTGCTCTTGAAGGGATACCTGAAGACATGAGCAGTGTGCTGCCTTTGTGGGGGGAGAATGTAAGCTGAAGAGCTACATGTGCTCTTCTGCACCAGAGGAAGAAAAACACCCTATTTGCAGACTGAAGGGAGCTCTGAGGCCTGGAGAACCAAGAACTTTATACCAACTACAAAAGGGAATTGCTCTCTGGAGACTCTTGGGTAAGACTGCTTGTTTTTCTTTTAGTAGAGACAATATTGCTTTGTTTACTTGCAAAGCATGTGGTATTACTTGATGTAAAAATGTTTATAATTCAACTATGCTATATTTAATACTTATTTTTAGGTATTGATGTGAGAATGAAGGTATTTAAGGTTATAGAAAAAAATCAAAAGGTCAAGAATTTTCTTAAGAAGTGTGTGAAAAAGCTACTTCACAATTTAAGAAGAATTGTGTTTGGGTTTAAGCTTAAAATAAAATGGGTTGAATGCTTGTACTTGAAAAAAAGTCATTCGTGCTCTGTGAACTTAAATTCTCATACAAACAGCTGAAGTAAGGTAATGCTGTAACACTGGCTTTTTGGATGGCTACACTTAACAGTGCTACTACATAAATATCATATACTTTATAAAAAATCTTCACATGAAGCATGACTGCATGGTTTCTAAGTGACCACCAGTTATAGGTGATTCAGTAGAAAAGCTGAAGTTTGATTTACATGGCAGCCAGTTTCCAGGATCAGGAGGAAGTTGAAAACAAAAGATACATTACAGATTGTAGAAAGTTTTATTTTAAGTACAGTGAGCTCAACAATTTCCCTTTGAAGGCATAGTCAGGCTGTAACAACTTCCAAATATAGCTCACTTCCTGAGGGGGTCTGTTGTAATGTGCATCAATGCTGTGTGGTTTCTGTACTGTAGAAATAGAAAATCTGGATTTTCAAGGAGTCTGACCTTTACAGAACACACTAATGATGCACAGGAATTTCCCTCCATGAAGAACTGAACATGTGACTAAGTTCTGTTCTCCTGTAATGTGGCATCTGTCAAATGCAGGAAATATGCTCTTAAGAAAACCGTTTTAGCACTAGTGAGGTAACTTCACACCATCTCAAATGGCTACCTATTTCTCTATAATGGTTACATTAAGTTAGAAGTAACCTTAACCTCAGTCTGATGTGGTATGAAAAATACTCAAAAGGCTACCTTAAAAAAAAAATCAGTTTAGTAGTTATCCTAGTTCTACTGAGTCCCAGTAACCACCTTGCAATTACAGGAACTAGCAGAAGCCTCTCAGCACCTGAAATTGTTACACAGCTAAAAGATGTGGGAAGGAAGAAGTTGCAACAGTGGAAAACTGTACATCAGGGAGCAGACAGATGTTGGAAGGTGTTAGTGGGCTAAGACTTTGTGAAACAAGAAATATAAGGCCAAGCACTCTGCAAGAGTTTCATCTTCCTATGTTTCCCACAACAGCCTGTGTTATTAGTATGGCAATTAAAGGTTTTCAAGTAAATGGAAGTATCTACACTTGCCATAACTCTGGGCTAGCCACAGCTTTTCCTTTTCTAATGAGTCTAATCCTAATGTGATTTTTTTCCAGAATTCTAACTCTACCTAGACAATGTTACCTGCAGGAAATGATCTGGGTTTGCTCGGGTTTTATACTGCTTTCAGAAACTTCTGTGGCTTCCATATACTCACGTGGGGTTTTCTGTAGGGAACAGTCCTTCTTGCAATGCACTTAGTATGTCCTTCGTCAGTCATTTGAAATCACTACTTTGTCTAATCTCGGCTTCACACTTGCTATTCTTATCCCTGTTTCAAATTTTTTTCAAAAAAACTATGACAAATTTGGAATTTAACACTTACTACTACTACTCTAAAGCATTTATCAGTTTTTAGACTAAGCTGATAATGACTAGCTATTTGCTGCTAGAGTTTGGTGGGACAAGCATTCATTTTTTCATTGAAATCTAAAGTCAGTGGAATATTAACTCTAGTTATTGGTAGAGAGCAAGTTAAAGTACAGAGGGAAGAGGAACAGATGCCGAAATGGGAATAAATCTCATCCATCGTCTGTAAGTTTCTCTGTGCATCAAGGGACAATGAAAGCAATACCTGAAACCCTACTATTCTATGTAAAAGGTTGAAGAGCGCTCCAGTTCTGTGTACTGACGCAGTGGCGGCAGCACTGTAGCTGCCCAGTTTACACTTTCACTAAAAATAAGCCCTCTAGGCCCTGCATTCACCAGAATTCATATAAGAGGAACTTGTGTTACGTTCTTCATCACTACGTTGGACCACACATTGGCATTCAAGGCTTGTACAATTCGTTTCACGCCGGTGGACTCTGGAAAATCATCTAAACCAAAAGACAAAGACATTGTAGTCCTACTGATTAGACCAAAAATGCCTGAAAGTAAGACGGTGTCTGTCCAAATGTCTGTCCTATCTTATTGCAATTGATATAAATTTCTGTTTCTGTGAGGAAACACAGATTTCTTGCTTTGCTTCATGAGAGGCCAAACAAATCTAAATGTATGTCTCACTTCTTAGCCTAGGCTTCCAGGTATTACGAACTGTGAGCTCTCAGCCTTTTGTAGAGATCTAAATTCTGACTGAGGTTTTGTTAAATATTTAGCTTAATGCCTACAGTGTTGAATAACACAGAAGTAAATTTCATAGTAATAGAAAATTTTTAAGTTTCTGTTAAAAGCAAGGCATCTTCTAACCCAAGATCTTTTAGAATGCTGTATGGCACAGAAATGTTAGAATTACTTTTCCGTCCTTTAGAAAGTAAAGAACTTCAGACAGCCATTTTAAAAAAGGTGCAATGCTTGTTAAAAATGAAAATGATCATTGTAAAGCTAACTCCACAACATCTAACTCCAAACGTTCCAGTAATCCTGTGAATTACAGTAACTTGAAAGACTAGGGAAAGCATTATTTGGACTTCAACTTATTTACTGAATAGATCTGACACCACTTTGTATAAAGTCAGTTTTGCCATTTCCTGGGTTTAGTCAGCTTCCCATGTTTGTGCAGGTCTCACAAAGCAATAGGGAAAAAACAACCACCCTTTGGATACAAAAATGTGATTGCTTAAAAATCAAACTCTTCTAGGATGACTCAGGGACAGATGCAATAATTGAAACTGCCTTTAAAAATTAAAGCTGTCTATGACCCCTTAGATCAAATATTTTGCCCTCTGACACTGCTGTTTGGTTTTGTATCAGAGTCATTATCAAGAGTCTCAGTTTAGAGATCTTGTCTTTAGTGTACAAAAACCTGACAGTGTAGTCACAGCAAGAGCTCCAGTTCATTTGTGATGAGCTGCCAGAAATGTCATATTTTTTAAACGGATATTGGCCCAGTATGTTTACTGCATCCATTTTATTTCTTCTAAGTAATTCATACAGCATGTTTACAGGGTAAATATGTTAGTCAGTAGAATACATTTCCTCCTATGCATGAGTTGCAGTGAATCAATGACCATATTAAAAATCCAGGAAAGAACATATATCTTAATACTCCAAAGATTAACATCCTGAGCTGTTATTATTCCCATTACTTATACTATTTAAATAGTAACTAGCTCATTCTTTACAACAATTATTCAATAGGAAAAAAAAAAGACTTAATGTTACTAGTATTTTCTTTTACAGCACTTAATAAGAAAACTTTAGTCTAAGGGGTATCCACTTTGATTTTTCTGGTGTCTACAAGTCAGAAGTATGTATATCCCTCCCTCCCTGACTAACAAAGTGCCAGAAAGAAACATATCTTTAAAGACATGGCAGGGGGAGAAGGGGTGAATTTAGCTACTCAAGATACAATTTTTATCTAGGCCTTTAAAGGGGGAATGGGTGAGAGAAGGGGTTCTAGCTTAGGCCTTTAGACTAAATTATTTTTGCCGACAGCTATGTACTTGGTGAACCTGAAATAGAGCAAATGTTAGTGACTAATTCCACTCAAGCCTGGAAATGAAGTTGGTTATCTCACTTTGGCTCTATAGAGGTAAGATGTAAACACTTTTTTTGTATTGCTGAAATGAGGAGATAAGGCTGATGCTGATAAGGCTGTCAGGAAGTGCATAGTCACTTTTCAAGAGTGGAACATCACGCTTCTGACTTTGATGGGTTTTTTCAAGTTAAAAACGTATGGTCAACCAGTGATTTTGAAACTGGTTTATTTCCTGTGTAACAGTGCATACAATTCTAAAATGTTTTTAACAATTTCCCCTTTTTGGCTTACCATGCCACTGTTGAATAGTATCTATCTTCTCTTGGCATGTACAATAGTTTTAGAGGTCTTTTTAAAAAGAAAAAGAATTTTCCTCCTGCCCTTGTGCATCTCTCTGGTTGTTGTTTTTTAGATTTATTTCCAAAGTGGAATATAAGTGTTTCTAATCTATCAACACAGTCCTAGGATTACTGCCAGAAAAAGGAGCAGATATTATTTTTATGTAGGTGCTACATAAACAGCAGCTGTATTTGGGAGGAGACAAATGGAATTTCTTGGAGGAAATAACCTCCTCCTCCTCCTGACCTTTTATAGCTGAGACTAAGCCTTACCAACTGGGAGCATTCCATGCTGTAATCATGTAGCACATAAATAAAGTTATGCCCCTTGCAATCGTTTAGAAGGTATTTTGCTGTACTTTTTTCATTCTAAAAATTAAAACAGAAGTATCAGTCCTACCATCTTCATCAGGCAGTTCCTCAGGGCTAAGTTCTACCAATTCAAAGCCATGCTTGATGCACCATTCTTGAGCTTTCTGTCTATTAATACCTAAAGTTGGGAAACAAAAATGCTTAATAAACATACACATTTGAGACTAACATCAGCAGTTGAATCTTCAGCTACATTTTATTCCCTCAAAGTTGTTTGCTTATTCTGGATTGTATGGGGAAAAAATACATAGTAGCTGGCGTGGGTCCTCCATTCACTTTGAGTTTGATTCCAAAAAACTCCAGAATTAAACAACTTCTTTATTTGAATTGGTTTTGCTGGTTGTTTGTTTTTTCAAATACCATAAAATCAAATGGCTTTGTAGTGGGTACTCAAAGGGAAATGTAAGTGCTGTGCCACAGTGAATGAAGACTTCTATTAACTCTAGGTTTGAATCTGAATTAAGTTAGAGGTGTACCTGCACCTTACAGCTTCTTGTTGTATTGCATTACCAAAGCAAACATGCATGTTTAATGTTCAAATGGTCAAAAAAGGATGAATGTACTTTCCATGATAGTTAAGCAACCAACAGTCATCCTCATTTTTCACCAGTGAGAATCATGCACATCCAGCAATATAAATGCCTTGTCAGGTACCTTGCAATGCATGCTGGTATAACAGAATGTGATACACAGAGCTCCTAGTAAGCAAGCTTGTAAAATTCTGATCCAGTTTTAATTACAACTAGCATAAGGCTTCTGTTCCTGGTCACAAGAGTAACCTGGCTCTTCTCAATCAAGTCTCAAGCCCAGTCTCCCACAGAAATTTTAAGAAACAATTGTGTTGATTTAACTAGAAAATAAATTATGGAAGGTTAATAACTCTAAGCCAATTTGGAACTTCTTTGGGTTTCATACCATTTTCAGATACTCTGTTACAAACCAGGATCATGACTTCTGGTAACCACTCTTCGGTCAGGGGAAGCCATTCGGAGACACTATCAAGTCCAGATTTCTAAAGGGGGGGGAAAAAACACCACAACTCCTTGGAATATATTATCAAATACTTTAGTTTTTTAAACTAGTTTTAAATCATTAATAGTATTGGAATAAAATGAAGTAAGGAAATATGCTAGGCAGCATATCAAGTATGTTTAAGACTTGTGTTCTAAATGGAGAAGTTAACTTGTACACAACTTCTGATTCTTGACTTACCTTACAGATGAGTTATTCCTACTGCCTTGGACTTCTCTTTCATGTTTAATATGAATTATGCAATCCTAGTATTGATTAGGAAAGATTTTTACTTAAGGCTTAATCATGATTATTTCATTTTAAGCATATCTCAGGTTTAATGTGCAGCTAATCCATCTTCCACACTGAAGTGGATGTTATGGGGGCTGGTGAACTACTCCCATTGCTTTAGTTTGTCCTGAGACAGATCTGAGATGTCTGGTTAAATGTATCTTTGCAGAATGTGTGGTATGCATCTGTTCCCATCTCTGGTAAAAAAACCAACTCCTTATTTAATTTTTTTTTGCGTCTCAGAATCTTTCTTGCTTTTGCTAAAGCACTGTTTTCACTACAACTTTGAGTAAAATGATAGCACTGAATCTTATGTTTAGCTCCTTCATTCTTGGCTATCCTAAAGCAGCCTTTCTGAAGTAGCATCAGCTAAGAGTGTAAAATTGGAGGTGGTGGTCTGGAGGAGGATTTGCCTAACTTAGTAGCATATTTGCATCCTGCAAACCTCTCTTCCAGCTGGAGTATGATAGTAAAAGGGAAGAAGACTGCTTCCATTGATAGCAGGCATAATTTAACATTGATCTACTGACAATTAATAGAACAGCCTAAAAGGAATGGATGGCATAAGATGAAGAGAATGTAATTTGTGGTGATAAGGCAACTATATCATACAGATAATGAAGAGTCTTACTATTGTGCTGTCGAAGTACACAACAAATGCTTGCACAGATTCAGCAATATCTCCAGTAACAAGAAATGTGTTTGGTACCACACAGAGGTGAATGTCTGCAGAATAATATTTATTATCTATTGTCCAGGGGTAAAAATTCACTCTTCCACTTGTTGTTGCACCCACAGTAAGGTCATCTTTCCCTGTGATACCTGTATAAAAGAAAATGAATGAGATGGATGATAGAATCACCATCAAGAAAATAATTGGTCTAGAATAGCTTGGTACAATGTCAATCCAGAGTCACCTTTACTTACTATAATAAAACAGTATATATTTAAGATCTTTAAAAATTCAAACTCAATTTGTTACTCTGTCCTACAGTTTATTAGCTTTCAAAAGAGTTTATTATCTAGCTTTCAAAATAAAATATGGTACAGAAGCTCTTCAGAAAGCAAGCTGTTTTTCCTGGAAATGCCTTTTAAAGTGTAAACCTCAAACTTACTACCTGTAAACAGGATGTATAGAGAGAATACCTAGAGTTTATTACAGCAGAAGAAAACCTTGTGTGTTCGTTCAGATGTAAAGAACTGTTTGACTGTGACCAAAACCTGAAGGTAACTAATGAGAAAATAAACCAAGTTACTACAATTCAGCTGTAATTCCCATTAAATTCCATGTAGGAGTTCAACAATTAAAATCCAAGGCAGTGCTTAGATAATGTAATGTTAAACACTGCCCTTTGTGTGCTGGTAGCAACCTTCAGAGTGCACACTCCCACAGCATGACAGCCACCTGGTGGAACTGAATTATAGTTAGTAACAGAGCATCCCATCTATACCTCACCAGGAAGGGCAGAGTATCTTGTTCAGACTGGACAAACCTATGGATGCTTTAAAACACAGGTCAATTTAATATATAAATTGACTGAGTCATCTAGAACTTCTTTAGGCATAGGAAGAGTTAAAAAAGAAATAAAGTATATGGGTTTTCAAAGATCTTAAGGGTCATGTTTTAAAGGTACTGAGACACAGCTCCTGGAGATGTTAGAACAGGCTGCGCCCTAAACAGTGGGGCCATGCATTTGAAATTGTGTATCATAACAAGTTGCCCAGAGAGGCTGTGGAGGCCCCATCCCTGGAAGTGTTTAAGACCAGGTTGGGGGAGGCTTTGGGCAACATGGTCTAGCGGAGGGTGTCCCTGCCCGCAGCAGGGGGGTTGGAACTAGATGATCTTTGAGGTCCCTTCCAACCCAAACCATTCTATGATTCTGTGATATGAATAAAAAGCTGGGAAAAACTCATTGCCAAGGTTGCCATAGAAAGGTTCAATGACTTTTGCAACTCACTGCAAAGTCTGAGAAATCTAACTGGTGAATGAGCACGGTGCACAAGGCAGCACAAAGGAGAGCTCTAAACCAAAAGGACTGTTTCCAGCAGTGAGGAGGGCACAGGGAATCTGAGGGCAAAATTTGACCTTGGAAACAGAAACCTGGGAGGGAATGAATCTCCTGTCCAAGTTTCTTAAAAGAAACCCAAACAACAACAAAACCCCAAAACAAAAAAACCCACAGAAAAACCCCCACCACATCTACATGTGTTTTCCAGGTTAAAGTTTGACTTTTTAATTTGGAGGACAGTAGTTTTCAGAGTAATTGGTCTTCAGTCAGAAGCTATTCTGTGATAAAACTATCCATGTCAGCTTGGGGCTGGGAGGGTGATGGATGACACTGCATCAATACCAAACAAGCCTTGATTCTGAACTTTGTATTCTTAGAGCACTAGCTTCTCCACAGAAATACGGAAGAGACTACCAATACAGCTAACCGAAATCAGTAATCTTGAAAGATTTTAATTCTTTCACAGCTTTTTTTAATGACTCAAGAATTACAGACCAGTTCTAGTGGCACATAGAAGCTGTTTCCCATGCTTCTCGTAAAAACTTGTATACGTGGATCTCTGCTTGCCCTGCAACACTTCATAGTAATACTGGAGTCACTTTGCAGCGGGTATCTCTATCCTGCTTGCATTAGCTGATATTATGTTCTACTAACATGAAGGAAACATTTATGCACCTATCTTCCAGGGAAACACAAGAATAGCTTTTCAGATAGTTTTAAACCCAAGCTTTTCAATTTAGGCTACACAAATACATCAAGTCTACTCTTTAAAAACAAAACCCAAAAACCCCACCCAAGTAATTAGTAAAACAGATCATCAAATGATAGCATGTCACTTTACAAAATCTATAGCTTTAATATATATATATTTTATTATAATAAATGCATTTTGGCAGATGACAATTTATTTTTTCTGCTATAAACCAGGAGCTTTAAGAACGACTAGATGTTAAGTGCTATACGTGGTATAATTTAGTTTGGTATCTTTGGTAAACAGGACTATTTAATATGTGCCAATTGCTACTAGATTAAATGGGTATTAGGGCCAACAGCTTTCACTTCGCTTAGATATAATGTGACAAAATTACAGCAACCAGGAGAGGAAACAAGTTAGGCAGACAGTGTCACTGTGCATGTCCAAAACCCAGGGATACCTTTTCTTTCCAGAATTATCTGTTGTCTAGCTTTTCAAATGCAGGCATAATCTTAATTTTCTGTTCTGAAAACCAGATGTTTTGTTTGGAGGTTTTGAATGCTACATAAACAAATGCTATAAATTTCTCCTCACTAGCATTTTGACATTAAAACTAAATTAAAAAATCAGTTCTAAACTAACAGAACTGCAAGTCAATGTCACAAGAGGTTAAGTTTTCAAATTATTTAAACCCAGAAAATCAGCAGTAAGACTTAGAAAGCCAAAGGGAGGAAAATAGAGTGAGGAAAGTCAGTTCAAAAGTCACTTCAGTCAAGTTAGCCACCATAGCAAGAATACTAAAGGAAAAAACTTCTGTAAGAAGATTTTCACAAGCTGATATGAAAGAACTTTCACATTTGCTTTGTGCTTGGTTTTTTTCCTTACAAAAGAGTTTATGGACAAATTTAGGCCTCAAAGTACTGCTAGAAGAATGAGGACGTGTCCCATTTTCTGCTACTTGTTTCTGTATTTTAAGTAGTCTTCTTTAATCCCATTGTGCTTCTGATTACCCATCATTCATCCAAAGAGATTTTGTCAGTGCCCTGTGAAATTTTTCTCCCAGTGAAAATGGATGTTGCACATGAAACTTAAAGGACTGCGGGAACTTTCTGAAAGGATTCAGACTTGCCATGTCTCAGCCTGCATGTAGAGTTGTAATATGTTCTTTCAAAACAACCTAATTACTCATGGCAGGAAACTAAATGCAGTTTGGATATCTTGTGAATAGTTCTCTTCCACAACAGTCACTTAGACCAATTAGGTTTTGGCCTTTAGAGTAAACAAGTAGAGACTACAAAAGAAATACACACTACAACTCAAACTGAATTGTCAAGGATGTATATTCCATGTTAGAACTAGTTTTAAGGATTATGTTACCACTTCCAGATTCCAGGAATTTCTTTCCAAGACAACCTATATCTTAAGAAAAAAAAAAAATGGCCAGAATAGTTTCATATCTAATTTTAGAGAATATTAATCAGAAAAAATCCCATTAAGTTTTATTTAGATATAGAATAAATGTCTAGAACATGAATATGGTAAAAGGAGGTGGTTTGTCAAACTTATCTCTAGTGAGTTACTCATCTTTTAATTTTAAACTCCCCAGCCATTGAAAGTGTCAGTGGTTTGCCATCCAAAGAGCCTGGAAAACCAACTGAGTCACTCTTTGACCACAACAGTAGGCAAGCATACTGGGCTGACTTAATTAGCTTGCCTTTTCATAGAGCAGAAGTGGCTTGTTTGGATGACAGGAATGCAAACAGACTTCAAATGCATCAGCATTAGAGAGTACTAAAAAACACACATGGAAAAGTTCATGCCACAAAAGAACATTGCTTAGAGTCATTCAAAAACATGATTTGGAGTTCAAGGTCCTCTAAGAAATACTGCAACTACTAATCTGGTTGCTTAACTGAAATAACTTTTACAATTTTACCAATAAATGCTGAATACTAATTAAGACATTTTGTATTTGATTGTCCCACACTTGTGTGTAAAAGCACTTTGGAGCAACAGAAGGTTCTTCATCTACACTGAATTATTTGAGGCTAGGGACCAAACAGACCATTTCTAAGCCAGCTCCAGTATCAGCCTTGGGTTGTTACCTCCTGCACACATTGGCACTATTCACCTATGCAACCTCCAAGGCCCCTGTACTAATGCTGACCTATGCCAAGATCACCACATTTGCTGGACACAAACAATTATCTTCCAGTTTATCCCAGTTCATGACTCACTTTGCCTGTTTTCTGTCAGAAAACCATTTAAGAACACAGCAGCAACTGACACATGAGATGAGTTCATGGCTCAATCCAGTATTTGGTAGTGACTGGTACCATATAGCTCAATGAACTTCCAAACTTCTGTGAAAGGCTGTTTTACTTCCAGGCAGTCAGTGAGTAGCTTACACTTTTCAGCAAATTTATTAGTTATGTCCTTTCTTTGCTTACAAGTATCTATAATTTTTAATAAATTGGATAAAATATTGGCCAATACTTTTAGAAATTAATTTCCGCTATCTATTTACATACAGTTTTGCTCATTTTACATATTTAAACTTGACTTTTAATTTTATAAGCTTGCATATAGACATGGTAAATTAAACAACAGTTCAGAAGAAAAGAGGACATGGCAAAATTGTAAAACCTAACATTCACTCTGCTTTTGTAACAGAGGCTTAGTAAGTGTTCCGTAAGCGCAAGGCAGCAAATGCTTTTTCCAAAGGAGAACTGGAGACCAGAAATAACTTTTCAGAAGAGAGCTGAATAATAATCAAAGAACCAGATGTAGATCTTGTCTCTTGCTGCAGTGTTCCCTGTTCTTTAACACCTAACTGGTATTTAAGCACTTCTATATTGTGTGTTTAATAGTAATATTTTTTCAGAATCATTACAATTCCTCTTTGCAGGGTTTTTCTTCCAAAAGGATTAAGGTTTCAGTGACTCTTCCTAGGGTTTTTCAGATTGAATACATGCTATAAGAACATAATTCAGTTTTCTGTGATGCCCTACATGATCCCAAGTCCTCTTAGTTGGTAGGTACACCAAGTAGTTCTCACATTCTGGGCCTTGAGAGCCACCTGGTGGAATACACCATAAAAAATACTCCTGCAAATTACA